ACGTTGCTCTACTCGCCATCTCCCCTCCATAAACTTCTCTGGGATGCTTTGCTCACTGGCCACAGTAACGACTTGTACCATAATGCTGCAAAGATCACATTGTTAAGTACTAAGGCGAGGCCAAACAGGGATGTGTGCCTGTTTCTCCAATTATTCAATTTTTGTTGTGCCGGGGCGCAGATCCATTCGTCATTGGATGGTGGGCGTCCCGCAGTGGTCATGGATACCCCTAAGATTCTAACTGGGGCCTCTAATGGTATCTATTTAATATGTGGTGATTTTGGGGGGCGTCCCCCTTGATAGTGAATCCACCATCCTTGAGTTTTGCTCCCCCAGTTGAATGTCATGTCGGAAACCTTGGCAAAGTTTTCCATCATTTGCTAGATTTCCTCCATGTATGTGGCCTCTGCCATAATTGTGAGATCATCCGCAAAGAGGGAGCATACCGGGATAGCCTCATCCGGGATATGTGCGACTCGGATTCTAGTAATGTTTTTGTTTGCCCGAAGGTTGGCAACTAGTGCTTCCGTAATGACCAAAGAAAGGAAGGGAGCTATTGGGTCCCCCCGGCGGATAGAGCGCTCTAGATGCGGAGGTGGTGCAAGACATCCATTGACTTGGATGCAAGTGGTTGCATTGCGGTATAGGATTTGAACCCAACGTTTGAAGTCTGGCCCAAAATTCATTTTTTCTAGGCATCTGTCTAAAAACAATCAATCCACATGGTCATAGGCCTTTTCGAAGTCGATAAAGATCAGGGTTGTGTTCTCACGGGAGTGCCTCATGAGTTGGATCACCTCATGGATTAACATAATATTCTCTTGTATATCCCTGTTCTCCATGAAGCCGGTTTGAGAGGGATGGATGATGTCTTCGATTACAGGGATCATTTTGTTCGCTAAGGCTTTCGACAATATTTTGTATATCACTGTGAGAAGTGTGATTGGGCGGTAATTTCTAATATCCATTTTATCTCCCTTTTTATATAGGAGGGTCAATACCCCTTGCCCCACCCTTTCACCCATCTCACCCGTAAGCCATACTTCTTTATAGAATTCCATGATATCCTAGCTAAAGAAGTCCCATGCGGTTTCCCAAAATTCCTTAGGGAAGCCATCAATCCCAGGTGCCTTCTCCTCCTTCATTTGCAAGAGGGCAGTCCATATCTCCTGCTTGGAGAGTGGGGCCTCTAATGATTTACGCCGTTCAGAGTGTTTTGTTCATTGGTTCCATAAATTCATTAAGTCGACGGTCATGGTGTCACGCGTCCGACCTGTCTATATGCGAGGAGAAGAGATCTTTGAAGAAATCATAAGTTATCTTAGTGCAACGAGCCGTGGACATGGCCGAGTCCGATTCCTTGGCATTTGGTTCGTAGAGCTCTTCGATTGTAGTCCTTTCGAGACGTGTTCTGGCTAGGCCGAAGAAGTGAGAATTCATCGCTCCTTCGGTCAAAAGTCTGAAAAGTCTTGCCCTTGTCTGGGCTCCCTACCATCGATGTTGCGGATGTTTCAAGAGCTGAGTTTTCAGATTTAGTATTTGAGTTTGTAATTCAGTGGTGGTTAGTTCCTGTCCTTGCGAAGTTTGTTTCTGTTCGACATCCACAATTTTTTTCATTATCGTGATCTCTTGCTGGTGTCGCTGTGCAGCTATGTGTTTGGAATATTCATTACATTTTTTGGCCCAAAAAAACAATCCATTATTAAACCATGCGATTTGAGAGTCGTGTTGAGAGCGGTGATCCTTCCAGAAGTTCCAAACCTGCTGGAGGTAGGCCCCTTGATCAAATCGTTTGCGTAAAGTCTAGACTGCCAAACACATCCTGTGATTCAGACCTGGGTGCGGGCTAGTTGGCAATATTGCTGCCAAGGTAAGTCCCCCTCCCAAATCTTCGGATGCCAGGATTAAATCGATTCGAGATTTCGACAGTCTGTCAGAGTTATTTTTTTTGAAACAGATAAAAGGCCTTTTCAGTCGGGTAGCAGCGCCTAAAGGTATCGAAAAGTGTGAGGGAAGCACACAGCCCCCCCAGCATCCTCCTCCGCGTAGTGCAGTAGTGGGCTGGACTTTCCATCGGTCCAGCCATCTGTCTGGTGCGGCATTTAAATCTCCTGCAAGGATTATCGAAATATCTGGGGTGGGGATTGTATCGATCTTTTCGAAAAAGGTTTTTCTCTCGCGGGAAGTGTTAGGGGCATATATGGACATAATGCATACTACTAATTTCATCATGCCCAATACCTTAACCCATTGTTCTTCCTCCTTATCCTGTTCCTAGTTGAGCACTTCTAGGCGAGAATCGGGCGGGATCCATATAGCTACCTCGGCGCTCCCTGGGCTGGGGGCGAAGGCTTGGTAGCCTTAAAAAGGCCAAACTTGCTTGTGTGCCCTGTGGTGCTCTGGAGTGTCCATTAGGTGGGTTTCCTGGATGCAAACAACGTCAAGCCATGTTCTTCCCCCAACCCCTCGCATTAGGTTCCACAGTGCATTGTTTTTTTCCCGGTTGCGGGACGCTAAACCATTAACAATGATCGATTTAATATCCAGATCCGCCTGCTGGAGGGTGTATTTCCATTTTTTGTTCTTACCGTACACCACTTCTTCCCAATCCATAGCAAATCATATGTCTCTTTGCCCCTCCCATTATTTGTTTTGTAACGGTGACCACTCCTGTGCCTCCCAGTCTACCCCCTTGTTATGAATATTTTTCCTCAGTATCGTGCAAATACATGCGAGTAGGTCATCCGTTGACCAAATGTTACTGCGTTTTATTTTAAGTTGTTGGGTGTCTAGAAGCGCGCTATGTGTGAGCCATTGTAGCCCTGCTTCCTTGTTGTCTTCAAATTTCACGTAAAGATCCTTATAGGCTATCTTCAGATTTTCTGAAGACACGCTGATGGTGGCCATTGCCCCTGGTTCATAATGGCTTGTAATAAACTTAGTGACCTCGTGGAACCGTAGTGCCCCTTCCCTTTTCATGTGCCAACCATGCAATGTCATTCCTCCGTAGCAGGGGGCATATGAGTCCTCTGAGTCAGCGGGAGACATGCCTAGTTCCCATTTGCCTGTCTTCCTCCTGATCGGGAGCAGCAACACTCTGTCCCCCATCGACAGATTTTTAAGATACATCCCCTTTTCGATAAGATGACGCATCTTGGACCGTTTTGAGAGTCCTGTTTCCTCCGCTGTCCTTACGGCCTCGTCCTCTCCTTGTTCAGTTTGTTCGTGGTGCATGGTCGGTTGCATACAATCGGGGGGGGGAGGGGGGGGGTTGTCTGCACGGCCTGACTTTGTTGTCTTTCTGGACAAATCTGATGTCCCGACCGTTGCGGGGGGGTGAAACTTGTGGTGTACGATGTTCCAGACTCTGTACAACACCTGTTGCCAATCCGTGTCTGGGGATAGGCCTTGCACCAAGGCGTGTTTCAGACTGGTGCTCTCATCCAGTAGAGAGAATAGTTGTACACAGGCCTCGTCCCAATATGACTCTGTCTAGCCTGTGTATAGTGTCTGGAGCTGTCTAATTAGCCAATCCGCGAGGCTCCTTAGCTTGGTCTCGACATCTTCCTCCCCTTGTGACCCCCAAGCCTCGGGTGAGCTGTCCATCATTTCCTCATCTGAAGACGCCCCATGTGATTCCCAATCCATAGGTTGGGGTCCAAAAACCTGAAAAAATGGGTCTGTTTTGGGGTGTATTTCTCCTGCGGGCGGGGTTTTTTCCAAGGGGTCCATTTTGGATAATGGTTCTTGCGGGGTTAGAGGCCCTTGGGAAGAGTCTACTGTTGTAGCCTTCCCTGAGGTGTGCTGCTTAGTCCCCCGGTGTGTACTTGGATTCACAGCCCCTGTCCCCTGGTCCAGCTGATTCTTTTCTCTTCCCTTTCCCTTATTCCCTTCCCCTCTCCCCCCCCCTTCTTCTCCTCCCTTATCCTTCTGTTTGCAGTTGACCCTAGTGAGGATCTTCACTCTTTCTTGTGATTTGCCATCCCCTTCCCCTCCTATTTGCTCGTCCAGCCCTATTGCCCCCGGCCCGTGCTCGGTTGTCTGTTTGTGCCCAGTTTCTGTTGAGCTTGCGATCGCTTGGAATCTGTTTTGTAGTTTGTCGGGACTGCCTCTTTTACTCTGGCTTTGTACTTTCTCGTGCTTACTGGGGTGTGCTTTTTTCTTCGGGGCCGGGGATTGTCATAGCTCCCACTGAACTGATGGGGTGATGAAGTCCTGAGGCTTGGGTTCCTGAAGCATGGATTCAGTTTGGGGCTCAGTCCCCTCTGCTGCAGTCTGTTGTCTATGGGCCAGTGAGTCAGTTTCCTTGGAGGGGAGGGTGTGAGAGCTGATGGCCTTGTCCAGTTGTGCTTCTACCTGTTTAGGGGGGATCCATTGGTCTGGAGGTTTGGTGTTCCAATCCACATTTTTACCTTTTCCCCATTCCCATCCTCTAACCCCCCCTCCATCTCGAGGCTCATCCACATACACCCATCCCTCATATCCTGCGTCGACTGTTCTCCACCAAGTGACCTTGAAGGGGTCGCGTAGCAGGCGACCTGTGGACCTGATCCTTTTGGCCGGGTGGTGGGGACAATCAGATTCCGTCGGGAGGTGGCCATATGCCTGGCACTAAAAGCACCAGGGCCTTGTTTTGTGTGCCGTATGAATTCTGAAGTCTCTCCCTCATTGATGGTAAAAATGTAGCCTTTCGGTAGGTCCAGGGCCACCATGAGGTAATCGTCCCTTTGGGCCACGTGGGGGGGGAGGCGATTGATGAAATCAACAATTTCATATTTTTGGGCTAGTTCCTGCACAAAAGCCCCTTGGATTTCAATGGGCAAACGTATTTGTTTCATCTTCATGTCCTGAATCCTGATCTTTTTATCACATTGTGGATATTTATCGTTTACTCCCTTTTTCCATGTAAATATTAGGTTTCAACTTCCTGTTCTGTTCTTTTTATTACATTGTGGATATTTATCGTTTACTCCGTTTTTCCATGTAAATATTAGGCGCTCTAAAATCGGACAAATTTGGTAAGCAAACAAACCTAAGTGAAATAACTGACAGGAAGGAAGCACGAGGTACGAAGGCTGAAAACAGGGTAATCTGTTGTCTCACCACTACCCTGACACTCTTCTCCTATCCCCTGACAGTTTTATCTACCTCCACATCCCTGCTGGCTATTCCGGAGGGGGGGAGAGAGAGAGAGAGGAGAGGATTCACATGGGAAGGAGGCTGCATGCGTGCAAGAAACGAGCAACGGCTAAGAGCCGTCTTTCTCCCCTTGGGATGGGAAACAATGGAAAACGAATGTCTTCAAAACATGGAAATGGCCTTCGTTATGATCAGATTCTGTAGCGCGTGGACTGAGTTCATAACATGTCTCCGTTTGTTTGTTGTTCTGTCTCTGTGCTTTTCAGATGCAGCGGACTCCATTTCCAGCAAGATGCAGTTAGGGAAGATGCATGTGCTCTAACCATGGTTAACTGTTGGTGTGTAGTAGTAGGCCGCCAGGCCGGGTAGTTCACCATCTTTTCTAGGTCTCTTCTGAGTTGTAACCATAGTTTGCTATAGCCTGCTAGTAGGTAGGTAGGTAGGTAATTGCAGTGAAATCCTGTACTAGACGGTAGTAAGTCTTCCTCGAACCTAACCACGGTTAACTTGGTGGTCTAACGTGGTTTGTAACTTCGTGTAAGCTGTACTTTGCTCCCCCAAGGATACTGGTAGTTTGCAGCTTAACTGTCCGGACAGGAATGCTAGTGTTGCACACACACACACGAAAAAAGGAATACCAGAACTGCTGACGGGGGTGTGATTCTCTCAGATGGTGAAATGCCTCCCAGAGAAGAGGTGGTGTGTTCCGCCCAGATAGATCTAGTGTGCAGCTCTAGTGTAAACAAGTTGCCCTTGGAACATAGCTCGTAATCTGTTAACTTTTCTAGTGCAGTTAGTTGTAGTATAATCAGAACGACTATTCAGCCCGTAGCTTAGCATGACCTACTTATTCCACCCATGCTAACCTACTTATTCCACCCATGTTCTGGGAGACAACCCACATTCCAGTCGTGCTTGAGTGAAGAGAGCTGAAAACAGGACTCGACAGTGAATAGTCATGGCCGGCATGTCGTACTCGTTTGTGAAAGAAGGTGCATGGTAGTTTGTGTGGATGTTCCCAAAAGTGTTGAAAAGCGATTTTAGCCAGGGGATGGTGAGTAGTTTGTACTCGTCGACGGAAGGTGGACCGTAGATTTGCCGCAAGCTGGTTATCGTTGCTTCTCTCCCATACGTAGCATCTGGAGGCTGGTTTTCGCCGGAAATCAGCTTTTGCAGACCTCCCTGTGCTTCAATAGCAGGATAAATAACAGGCCCCGAGAGGGATAACGGTGAGCTGTCGTAAGTAGTTTGTGATTTTTGAAAAGAGTTGCACGTGGGCTTTCGCCAGTTCTCCAAACTCGACCGCAACAATGAGGAACCCGAGGCAGATAGCGATTGTGTCAGCGGTGCATGCGGCCATGCTTGCAATCATCTTGGCAATGAGATGGATGAACAATGCGATATCGTTCTTACGCGGGTGTGTGGTGGGGGGTGTGCAGTGTGTCCACCCGACGACAATCTTGCTGCAGACTGCAGCAGCGATTGAGCAGCAAGCGCGCGTGGCGAGAAATGCCGCAGCGATGGCAAGCTTCCGCCTTCTGCGTGCTGTGCATGTCAGCAGACAAGACAGTGGACATTTTGAGAACGTCGTGTTGAATCACGGGCCAAGAGATGCGCGTTTCCGGAAGCATTTCCGAATGAACCGAGCGGTGTTCGGAAAGATCCTGGCTCGCATCCTGCCGCACTTGCAGAGACAAGTGACGAACTGGAGGGAGCCGATCGACCCTGCAAAGCTGTTTGCACTCGCGTTGACCCGCTTCGGGCATGGCCATACGTATTTTAAGATAGCGGAGCAGTTTGGCGTCGGGCAATCGACCTGCATAAGCGCTGTGCATGTCGTGACCAAAGCGCTTCGCCGCGAATACAGCGATGCAATCAGCTTCCCAACTTCCCCAGAGCAGCTTTCGGCTGTAATGCAGCCATTCGCACAGCAAGGCTTCATCAACTGCACTGGGTCTGTCGACTGCACGCATGTTCGGATACAGCGGCCAAAGAGGGAGGAGGCGGATGCAACCGCCTATTCTGATAAGAAAAGTGTGTACAGCGTCATCGTACAAGCAGTTTGTGACAGCAATTTACGTTTCTTGGACATCGATGCAGGGGCGCCGGGCAGCCTTCCTGACGCCAGCGTCATGGAGAGTTCTTCCCTGTATGAGCGTGCGCACGTGCAGCGGAGCATCTTGTCTGGACCACCAGCTCTCCTAAACGGCGGACAAGATTCTGTGCGGCAGTACTTGATTGCAGACGGGGGTTATCGACTTCTCCCATGGCTGGTCACACCGTTCCCTCGTTCTCCGCAGCTTTCCATCGAGCAAGAACGCTTCAATCGCCGTCTTGCAAGTTCTGTGAGGTGTACGGAAAACGCTTTCAAGCGGTTGAAAGGCATGTGGCAAATCCTTCATAAACCTTTCAAAGCAAATCTCAAGGTCCTACACAAGCAGATCCGGGCAATCTGCATCCTGCACAACATCCTCATCGATGAACATATTCCGTTCAGGGAAAAGGACGAGGTGGATATCACTGAGGAGATGTATGAAACAGTAGCAGCCGGGACGGAGCAGGATGATGAGGTTGGGTCTTCAGTCCGCGCCGCTCTTGTAAGACATATAAATAGTATGTGAGTTATCTAACAACTCAGTTATTGTCATTGGTCTTGTCCAACTGAAGGCCTAGGCAGGTACTTGGGAGGACATGAGGACATGATCAGAAGTTTGAGGATTCTGAGGTGGCATCCTTGTACCAAAAGAGCCTTGTACATTATCATGTCTCTCTCTCTCTCTCTCTCACACACACACACATTTGTCTGCTCTCTCTCTCTCTCTCTCTCACACACACACACAT